AGATGGAGGGAATATTTTGAGGAATTCTTAAATGTTGATGAAGATAGGGAAGCTGTGATTTCGTGTATAGGGCAAGGAGGAATAACATCTTGTAGGAGTGAGGAAGAGCCAGTTGTGAGTGTGGGGGAAGTTCGTGAGGCAGTAGGTAAAATGAAAGGGGGTAAGGCAGCCGGGATTGATGGGATAAAGATAGACATGTTAAAAGTAGGTGGGGATATAGTTTTGGAGTGGTTGGTTCAATTATTTAATAAATGCATGGAAGAGGGTAAGGTACCTAGGGATTGGCAGAGAGCATGCATAGTTCCTTTGTTAAGGCAAAGGGGACAAAAGAGAGTGCAAAAATTATAGGGGCATAAGTCTGTTGAGTATACCTGGTAAAGTGTATGGTAGAGTTATTATTGAAACAATTAAGAGTAAGACGGAGAATAGGATAGCAGATGAACAAGGAGGCTTTAGGAAAGGTAGGGGGGTGTGTGGACCAGGTGTTTACAGTGAAACATATAAGTGAACAGTATTTAGATAAGGCTAAAGAGGTTTTAGTAGCATTTATGGATTTGGAAAAGGCGTATGACAGGGTGGATATCAGATTGGAGGGAGAGAGTATGGAGGAGGTGAATGTATTCAGATATTTGGGAGTTGACGTGTCAGCGGATGGGTCTATGAAAGATGAGGTGAATCATAGAATTGATGAGGGGAAAAGGGTGAGTGGTGCACTTAGGAGTCTGTGGAGACAAAGAATTTTGTCCTTGGAGGCAAAGAGGGGAATGTATGAGAGTATAGTTTTACCAATGCTCTTATATGGGTGTGAAGCATGGGTGATGAATGTTGCAGCGAGGAGAAGGCTGGAGGCAGTGGAGATGTCATGTCTGAGGGCAATGTGTGGTGTGAATATAATGCAGAGAATTCGTAGTTTGGAAGTTAGGAGGAGGTGCGGGATTACCAAAACTGTTGTCCAGAGGGCTGAGGAAGGGTTGTTGGGGTGGTTCGGACATGTAGAGAGAATGGAGCGAAACAGAGTGACTTCAAGAGTGTATCAGTCTGTAGTGGAAGGAAGGCGGGGTAGGGGTCGGCCTAGGAAAGGTTGGAGGGAGGGGGTAAAGGAGGTTTTGTGTGCGAGGGGCTTGGACTTCCAGCAGGCATGCGTGAGCGTATTTGATAGGAGTGAATGGAGACAAATGGTTTTTAATACTTGACGTGCTGTTGGAGTGTGAGCAAAGTAACATTTATGAAGGGGTTCAGGGAAACAGGCAGGCCGGACTTGAGTCCTGGAGATGGGAAGTACAGTGCCTGCACTCTGAAGGAGGGGTGTTAATGTTGCAGTTTAAAAACTAGTGTAAAGCACCCTTCTGGCAAGACAGTAATGGAGTGAATGAAGGTGAAAGTTTTTCTTTTTCGGGCCACCCTGCCTTGGTGGGAATCGGCCAGTGTGATAATAATAAAATTTATGGACACTCTCTGCTTCCTGTCTGTGAGCCATGATTTGATCCACGAGAGCACCCTTCCCGCAATGCCATGAGCTGCCACTTTCTTTAAGTCTTTGGTGCGGAACTCTATCAAAAGCCTTACTAAAATCTAAGTAAATAATATCAAATTCTTTATCGTGGTCAACAGCCTCGAAAGCTTTACTGAAGAAAGTTAATAAATTAGTTAGACAAGAACGGCCTCTCGTGAATCCAGGCTGAGTATCATTAATCAAGCTATGCTTATCGAGATGGCGTCTTATAATCTCAGCTATAATTGACTCTAGTAATTTGCCTACAATTGAGGTCAGGTTTATTGGGCGGTAATTTGACGGTAACGACTTGTCCCCTGTTTTAAAAATAGGAATTACATTAGCCATCTTCCACATATCAGACACTACACCTGTTTGAAGAGATAAATTAAAAATATTAGTTAATAGTTCACAGAGTTCCATTTTGCATTCCTTAAGAACCCTTGAAAAAACCTCATCAGGACCCGGCGACTTATTTTGCTTCAGTCGGTCTATCTGCTTCACAACCATTTCACTAGTGACTGTGATGTTACATAATTTATCTTCTTCAGGCCCACGATAAAAATTAATTTCTGGAATATTGTTAGTGTCTTCCTGTGTAAAAACCGAGAGAAAATAATTATTTAAAATCGAGCACATTTCATTCTCTTTGTCAGTAAGATGCCTATAGCTATTTTTAAGGGGACTTATCTTATCTCTAACTTTTGTTCTATAGACCTGGAAAAAACTTTTTGGGTTACTTTTCGAATCCCTAGCAACTTTAATTTCATAGTCCCTTTTAGCTTTTCTTATCCCCTTTTTGATGTCCCTCTTAATGTCAATATACTGATTCATAAGATGACCCTCACCTCTTTTGATACGCCTATAAATTCCCTTCTTATGCCCTAGTAGATATTTCAGCCTATTATTCATCCATTTTGGGTCATTTCTATTTTATCTAATTTCTTTATACGGGATAAACGTTCTTTGAGCAGCATGTATAGTGTTCAGAAAACTGTCATATTGATAGCTCTCTTCGTTACCCCAGTCAACAGATGGTAAGTGTTCGCTAAGCCCATCGTAATCTGCTAAGCGAAAATCTGGGACTGTTACTGAGTTATCCCTACTATCATACTTCCATTCAATGCTAAATGTAATTGATTTGTGATCGCTAGCACCCAGTTCCACTGAAATTTTTAAATTATTCACAAGGGATTCATTGTTTGCCAGAACTAAGTCAAGCAGGTTATTACCCCTTGTAGGTTCTGTCACAAACTGCTTCAAAAAGCAATCCTGAACTACTTCTAAGAAGTCGTATGATTCTAAATTCCCAGTCAAGAAATTCCAATCAATATGACTAAAGTTAAAGTCTCCTAGAATTACTACATTATCGTGCCTTGTGGCCTTAACAATTTCCTCCCATAGTAGTCTCCCTTGGTCCTTATCTAAGCTTGGGGGACGGTATATCACACCTAAAATCAATTTTTCATGCCCCTCTGAAAATTCTATCCAAACAGACTCTGTATGAGTTACTTCAGACTTAATACCCGTTTTTATGCAACAGTTTTAAGCGATCTCGGACACACAATGCCACCCCACCCCCTTCCCTACACTTCTATCTACTTGGAACAATTTAAAACCCTGAATGTGACATTCTGCAGGCATGTCCCGATTTTTCACATTGAACCACGTCTCAGTTAAGGCAAATACATCAATGTTACCTGCACTAGCAACTAGTCTCAACTCGTCCATCTTATTCCTAGCACTACGACTATTTGTGTAATATATATTTAAGGACCCTCCTTTCTCTTTACCCTTCCTGCTCCTTTCTGTTATTCCACCAAACCTATTACTGTCCTTGTCAATTAGTGCCACTGGCTTTCCAATATCCACCTCATTTTGCCTATTACTAGTTCTCCTAGTACTCATATTACTACACTGCGACTTCACTGTTTTGTTTTCCCGCCAAAACCAATGCCACTAACTATTCCTAGTCTAAAAACCTAACAGCTCCCTCCACTGAGTTGGCCATTGCTCCCACCCCACACCTAGATAAGTGAACCCCATCCCTGGCACACATGTCATTTCTACGATAGAAGAGGTCCCAGTTGTCAATGAATGTTACTGCATTTTCCTTACAGTATTTGTCCAGCCAGCAATTGACACCAATTGCTCTGGACAACCATTCATTTCCAACTCCTCTCCTTGGCAAAATGCCACATATGACAGGTTTCCCACCCTTCCTCCTAATTATCTCTATTGCTGACCTATACCTGCTTATCAGGTCCTCACTCCTACGTCTGCCAACATCGTTGCCTCCAGCACTGAGACAGATAATAGGATTGCTCCCATTACCTCTCATGATGTCATCCAGACGGCTAACAATATCCTTCATCCCAGCCCCAGGAAAACACACTCTCTGCCTCCTACTCCTATCCTTCAAGCAGAATGCCCTATCCATGTACCTAATCTGGCTATCCCCAACAACAACAATGTTTTTACCTTCCTTGGCGACGTCCATCGTGATGTTCCCAGTAGTCGACTCACATTCATTAGGTAGCACTACACCTTCACTTGTGGAATTCGTCAAGACGTTCTCGATGGTTTTCGTTGAGGTTTCTAGGGATGTCTCACTCACGTCAGCCAATGTTTCCTTGGTGCTCATTGTGACATTCCCAGTAGAACACCCACATTCGTCAGGTAGCACTGAAAATGGGTTGGAAGTTTCCACAGTAGTCTTCTGGGTCCTCATTGTTTCTGCCTCTCCAACAGTCTTCTTGATCCTCAGCTTGGTTCCATGTTGCCCGGCCACTGACCAAGCTCCCCTCTTAACCTGGGGACTCACAACAGGAGGATTACTTCGAATCCTCTTGTTCTCCTCCGTTAATCGCCGTATCTCCTGCTTAGCAACCCTAAGCTCTTCTTTCAGCTGCTGGTAAAGTTGCTCAAGAGAGGGCATCCTGGTTCAGATTCACAGAGAGCACACAAACCAAATTCACAGAGATCACACAAACGAGAGGTTAAGGGAAATCGACCTGACGACACTGGAGGAGAGGAGAGGTAGGGGGGACATGATAACGACATATAAAATACTGAGAGGAATTAACAAGGTGGACAAAGACAGGATGTTCCAGAGATGAGACACAGCAACAAGGGGACACAGTTGGAAGTTGAAGACACAGATGAATCACAGGGATGTTAGGAAGTATTTCTTCAGTCACAGAGTAGTCAGGATGTGGAATAGTTTGGGAAGCGATGTAGTGGAGGCAGGATCCATACATAGCTTTAAGCAGAGGTATGATAAAGCTTATGGTTCAGGGAGAGTGACCCAGTAGCGACCAGTGAAGAGGCGGGGCTAGGAGCTATGACTCGACCCCTGCAGTACACACACACACACACACACACACACACACACACACACACACACACACACACACACACACACACACACACACACACACACACACACACAACCTATATCGTATCTGATGTCACCTACTCATCACTCGTTCATTTACGGTTCCTGCAGGCGTCATCCAGTGCTGGATCGACTTCTCTGAGGCATGGCAATGGAAGCTCTACATGACACTGGTGGCTTTCACCATCTTCGGCTTCCCCACAGTCATCATCACTGCCTGCTACGCCATCATCGTCTATACCATATGGTCCAAGAGCAAGATCATGACCCTTAACAGCAAGGCCCTCGGCACCAAAAGTAAGTAGATCCAATTGGAATATCGCAAAATTGGATGTAAGAAAAGACAGGTTGCATAACAAGCTCTTATTGGAATAATGTTTTACTGTGTGTAAAGATTTATTAAGTCATCTTTAATACGATTTACACGAGTGAAATATAATCCAAATAAACGGTTGTTCTGTAACCTGTGTCTTACTTTCAGTGGAAGGAGGATACATTATTTTCGTACTTGTTTATTTTGTTAACGTACTTTTTACCTTGTTAAAGCATTGTTTACCTTGTTAATTTTAATTCTTCTACATTACGTAAAAGATTATATAAAAGATTACAATTATTTTTAAATCATTCATAATATTGCATGCAGTATTTTTCATTTTAATCTTGATTAATAATTTTTAAGATCTTAAATAATATTATTTTAAGACACAGCTTGAAAGAATTAAGTTGTTATTCTGAGGGTAACAACGTCAAAGTTTTCTTGCTGTTGATTACTCAGAATTGTCAACAGTTACACTTCTATCCAGGTGGACTGAAACTGGATCCGAATGACGTACAAACTTCTGTAGTGAAACAACAAAGATTGTATAACATGCTTTTATATGGACAACGTTTCCTCTCTATTGTGCAGCTCTATCGTGACTTGGTATCATGACTTGATAAAGCTCTACCCAGAGCGAAAACTTACTTCAGCATAAACTTGTTCTGTAATGCGAATTAAACCATTTAGTTTTCTGATCCCCAGCGTGTTAAACCTGCTTTAATATTTTTCTATGAGAGATGTCACCTCCCAGATATTGTCTTTAATTCTTACTGTGGAAATAGCTCTTTGTAGCACTGTGCTATATCTTTTGTATCTGAGGTACCATATCCGCGTTATGGCGACTCATGCATTTCTGCACAAAACATAAGAGTTTAACGCTATATTACGGCTATACTCATACAGCACCTGAGGAATGGAGGAAAAATGAGAGAAGTTATAATTCTGTGGATCAAGAGATCTTGACCAACATCAAGGAACTCTGTTTTGAAGGGTTCACATTCCATTCAAACTGCAAAGATTTCAGATTACTGAAATAATAATCCCATGAAAATAATTATGAATCCTTACGAATCGTCTTCAAGATATATATGTGTCACCCTGGATGGTCAGGTTAGTGTTGTAATTATCAACATGGGAGTCTACATGTCATCTCTCACTTCGGGTGATTAAGGGAGTGTACAGTAGTAACTTTCAATACAGGAGATTACGAATCATCTTTCATTTGGAATGATCAGGCTATGTTACGAAAATATATTAGTGCCTAGGGGTTAAAGCCTTGTCTAAGGGTATATACAAAATATTAAAAAAATGCACCACCCTAGGGCCACAAAAGTGACTTCCCAAAAGCGCTAAATAAGTAGTCAACACCCTAAGGTTGACCACTTGGAAGGACAGATAAACTCACATATACAAAACTATAATCAGCAACAACATTCGTATATACAGAAAAAAACTGCATTCTAGTTAATTAAACCTGCAACTAGTTATTTAAAATTAGGTCAAATAAAATATTACAATCAAAACCAGTTGCTAAACTCACAAGGGTCATAACTAGGTTAAAAAATATAAAACATTAATGGCACCTGTTGATCGCCAAACTTCCCCACAGGCCTTTAGCCTGTTGGCAAAAATGCAACCATTTCTGCCCTTTCAGCTAATCATACAGAGCCCACATAATACCCGGGTGTTGCCCAATGCTAAGGCCAACTTAAGTTTACAAAAAAAAATATTTACAAAAATAAATTATGGCCTAAAAATTATAATGAAATAGTCCAATGTTTTTATCTGTCACACTGCAACAGCAACTTTTCTCCAGCAAAGCTTCCCCAGCCACTGCTAAACTAGATACACTACAAAGTTCACTCAGTGTTCACGTTTAATACGTGTCCCACTGAAAGTCCACCTGCCGTTTAATTTGCGTCCACTTGAGCGCTGGCACTACTTTTATGGACCTTCGCTATATCACAAACACTCATTTATGTCATATAATAATTATTTCAACAATGCAGGATCCTGAATAATATTCTAAAGTGTGTAGCTATCAACACCGATGACTGTGATACATCTACTTGGGATGGTCAAGCTAGTGCAGCAACTATCAACAAGGAAGACTATGGTACACTCACCGGGGATGGTCAGGCTAGTGTAGTAACTATCAACAAGGGATTATTATAATCATGGGGGAGCGCTAAACCCGTAGGATTATACATCGCGTGGGGGGGAAGGTATTCAGGCTCAATTCAGGGAACCGGAGCACAGATCCAATTCCCTAGATCAAGAGCCCCTCACTATATCAACAAGGGTGACAATGGTATACTCGCCTGGGATGGTCAAGCTAGTGCAGAAACTATCAACAAGGGAGACTATGGTATGTTTACCTGGGATGAACAAGATAGTGAAGTAACTATCAACAAGGGCGACTATGGTACACTCACCTCTGATGGTCAATCTAGTGCAGTAACTATCAACACTGAAGACGGTATGGTAGAAAGCCATCTGCTGGTGACCTGACAAATTAGCTGCATGGGCGAAACATTGCCAATAAAGGCCTTCCATATAACTCCATTTGTGTTTCTTTGCCAAAAACTTCCTTTACTAGTGTTTTTATGAAGAAACTTTGAATGGTCCATCAAGGTGATGTCACACTGTAGGAAAGCACTGCTGGCTGTTCCACTTGAATGCCAGGAAGATTTACAACTATCATGGTACCATTCATTCATGGCCTGGCTGCCAGGGAGTGTGGACGTGCCTCGCACCCCTCTTCTGACAGTCTAGCAAGCTCTCCTGTGACGCCATGGTACTTAGCGTGAGGAGGGGTGTGAATACCGTTGGCATAGAACTTATTCGAGGGGAAGTTACGCCTATGACTGCACAAGTGTTGCTACCCATGATTATCCATGACACTTGTGGAATTGAGGACAAGGATCTGTATGACGTGGCTTTGAATGGATCCTACAGGCTGTTTGTGAAGCTACTCTCTGGGCCAGTGTACGAGGTGCTGTTGATCGCTTCCAAGATATCTGTGTATATGTGACCCCTGCAGTGCATGTGCGTGTGGTGGATATCTCACGACAATACACATGGGTAAAACTGTGCAGTGTGCCCTTCAAAGATGATGAAATGGATATATGCCATGTTTTCAGCAGATACGGAGCAAAACACGTCACACAGCAATGCAAGTGGGTGGATGGGGCATATGCTGGTCTCCCCGAGGGTACATTTACCCTTAAGATGTCTCTCTGCCAGGCAATACCATCGTAAGTGTACCTTGATGACTTCAGCATGCAGGTCATGGTGTTGTATGCTGGACAACGAAGGATGTGCCACCTCTGTGGAGACTATGATCATATGGCAGCAGAGTGTGGGAAGCGTGTGCAGGCCAGGAGGTCGGCCGGTGGAGTGACAACTGTCAATGAGCAGGAGGATCAATTACCTGGCTGACAAGGAGATGGTGAGAGTGGTCAACTTTGGAGTGAGAAGACTGAGGCGCCAGTGGTAGAGTCAGAAGTGGAGCTGATGACTACCACATTGCCTGCATCGCTGGTGGTACAGCAGGCTTGTGGGGAGGACCAGGTGATGGCAGAAGTCGTGGAATTCGATGCAACAGTAGCGTTGGTATTGCAAACTATGTTCCTGTCTACAGATTAGGTCTCCCTGGCACAGCTGTTGGCCAGTCTAGAGCTCGTGTCCGAGGTGGTCGAGCGGCAGGAGGCGGCAGTGGGTGCTGGTATTCTGGCAGGGATGTGCTGACCCCTGGTCAGGAGGCTTCGATGACAGTGGTGGTGGAGGTTCATTGTGTGGACACCCCGGTCACAAGCATGGAGGAGGACGTTGGGACGAGGAAGAGGGCGGTTGGACTCTGACGACATTCTGACGCTGGCTCAACGTACAGGGAAGAAGGCTTGGGTAGAAGGGGGTTGTTGTACGAGTGGAGGTGAGCAGTGCCTGCAGGTGGTGCCATAGGGACGAGTGCATGCATGGAGAGCGTGGCAAATGTGGTCCCCAGTGCCCAGGGGGGCATGCAAAAGAAGCAGTGGGGCAGTGAGGGTGGAAACCTTAGCTCAGGCCTCCAGTATATGACTATAAATGCTAATGGTTTGTATGCAAGAGTGAAGCATGAATGGTTGCTAATGTTTTTGTGTCAGCATCGTGTGGATGTCGTTTTCATTCGAGAACATAACTGCAAGGTTGGCACGGTGTTTGGCGTGAATGGTTATCAGGGTTTTGTTACACCTTCAGCATGGTTAAAAGGGGGGTGTCGATCTTAATCCAGGAGGCAAGCCAGTTTGTGTTGTTCAGAAGTGAAAGGGGGAGGGGGTGAGGGTAGGGTCTTGTGTGTAGATGGATGATGGGGGTTGAGAGAGCATTGTTAGTCTGTGTGTATGCACCTGCTGAGAATCTTGTGGTTGAGCGTTAAGATGGCCTTTTGTAGTTTGCTACCTTTAGCGATCATGGGGGGGGGGAATTGGAATTGCGTTGTCCGCTGGGCTTATGTGGCACCGAGGAGGGCGGGCTTCTTTTTGCACATCTTAGTGGAGCTTTCACGGAATGTTCACTTACAGGGTGCATTTGTTTTGGGTTCATGGGAGGTGGAGCACACTTATATGTGGAAGGGGTATGGGGCACAGCTGGATAGGATCTATGTCATGCAGCATGTGGTTGTTGAGTCTTTTAGTACCATTGTGACACAGTTTTCAGATCATAGAGTGGTAGTGGCAGAAGTCGGGTGGGAGTCGCTGGTGCAGAGGCAGGCAGGGTACTGGAAATTAATTACAAAGATGCTCAGGGAGGAGGGGTGGGCTGTTGAGGATGTGTTAAGGTGGTGGGACAGAGTGACAAAGGAATGGATTTGTAAATTCTATGTCCATGAGGGGAAGAGGATCAATCAACTGCATTATGGCTTGTCTAATTACCCGGAACATCGATTAAGGGGTTGTTATGGTATGGGAGTGTTGACGGGAGTTTATGCAGTGGAGGA